GTACACGCAGTTTCTGGTAAACATCAACTGTGTATCAGAAATGGTACACACAGTAGCCAAAGTGTTAAAGTGTCATTAGCATGATAACTATTGTGGATTAAGACAGATTTCACAATGATTATAATTAAAATAATTTATTATATTTTTCATAAAATAAATTTTTTAATTTAATAATTCACCCAACACCTTAGGGTAGAAGGGTTATTGATTATATATATATATATATATATATATATATATATATATATATATATATATATATATATATTTATATATATGTACATATATATATATATATATATATATATATATATATATATATATATATATATATATATATATATATATATATATATAATTTAATAATTGGAAATTAAAAAACTTTTAATACATGATTGAATAATAATGTAAATTTTAAATAATGTTTGCAAAACATTACGCTAATTATTCGTGTTCGTATTATTTATTTTTGTTTTCTTTTTCACGTTTTTTTGTACCATTATTGGTTGTAGATTTTTTTGCTGTTTTATATTTTGTTGTTTTTTGGACACAGTATTTTTAATATTAGGCGATAATTATATTTATGTGTTTTTTTCTTCTTGTTTGATTCTTTTGTTTTTTCGTTAAATTTTATTAAGTCATAAAATTAATGTGTGTCTTTTGGTATAAATTTTTTTAGCTGTTGTAGGTAAAGCCATTTTTTCTTTGAAATTTCTAACCTTTTGCTGTATAGTGGCTTGGGTAGGTATTCATCCAGAATAATTGTTTTTTGTCTTTGTGGTAATGTTTCATAAGGGTCGTCGTATTTATATAGGGTAAATATTTTCGGCATTTTAAAAACGTCACCTTTAACGGACTGTTTAATTTTCCCGGTCGAATTGAGTTCTACCTCATCAAGTTCGGGTTATCAAAATTAAGAAAGTACGAATGATTCCAGAGGCATTGGTTTTTTCTTGGCGTCTTTTATAATATTTATGTAGTCTGTTGGTAAAAAAATATCTTTTTCCTTTAATCGCTTCTAAATAAGACTATGAGAAGAGTCACACTACATTTAAGTGTAGCCCTTCTCAAGGAACTTCTGTTCAATCTCAATAATAAATTGTGTTGCAAGAATGGACAATGCATTTTGCAGAATCACGTTTTAACCCTTTCACTGCGGAAAGCGCGATATCGCGTCGTCACAGTGTTTCCTAAAATGCGGAGGGCGCGATATAGCGGCCTATGTAAATGTGATTTCAAATATAAACTATATCTTCCGCAGTCTTTAGAATGGCACAAAAATAACTCCGCATATACAGAAAGGTCTATTTTATCCCAGTAAACTGTCTGTTGTAGAACTGGTTACCTATTTTCGTAAATAAATTATCTCAAATATAACCTATAATTTTTGACATTACCTTGTGATTAGTATCTACTTTTATATGTCGTTTTCATAACAAAAGTTTTTAATTTGTGTTGTATTGATTTTCTATAAAGAATGAGCGATTCACAGCAACCTGGACCTTCAGGTATGAAAAAGCGAAAATTCATAAATGTAAGAAATCCAAAAAATTATCGGTTGAGGAAATGACAGAATTTTTATATAACTCTGATACGGAAAGTGAGCAAGATGACGAGGATGAATGTAAGTAAATAATTTTAATGTGCTATATTATAGAAAATTTAAATATATATTTTTTAGTTCAAGTGGAAATTTCTACAATAATGGAGATTCGGATTCAGATCTTACAGAAAATGAGGAGAGTTTTATGCAAGACAGAGCGGAAATGATTGTGCACGATGAGATTTTAGAGGGTACAAATGAGATCCAGGCTGAAAATTCGTGGAATGAAATAAGTACTATGAAAAATATTCCTTTTATGGGAACAAATAAACTATTAGTTCAATCTCCTGGTGACGAACCATATGATTGGTTTAGGATGCTAATCGATGATGAATTTCTAGAAACTGTAGTGAGTGAATGTAGTAACTATGCCATTCAAGTACTGGCTACTAGTAAAGGATCTGTACGATCGAGAATCACCAAATGGAAAGAACTGACAGTAAAAGAGTTCCTTATGTTTTTAGGATTAACTTTACTTACTGGTACTGTCAAACTTCCTGAGTTACAAGATTACTGGAAAAAACACAGACTATTTACAACTTGTTTTTCAAACTACATGAGTAGAGACAGGTATTTATTAATTATGCGTTGTCTTCATTTTTGTACAACTTGGATGGAAGGTGATCAAATCCCCGAAGATCGTCTTTTTAAAATTAAACCTGTAATAGAACATTTCAACAATGTGATGAAGAAAGTTTACTATCCTAATAGACAACTTTCGTTAGATGAGTCAATGGTCTTGTGGAAAGGAAGACTTATCTTCAAACAATATCTTCCAAATAAGCGCCACAAATATGGAATCAAACTCTATATTTTGACGGAACCCAGTGGACTTATTTTGAAATTTATTGTTTGCGGTGGCGAACGTGACTTGTTAGGAGGTAAAGATCATACAAAAAAAGTAGTAATGCATTTACTGAGCGATTACTTAGACAAAGGCCACTCAGTTTTCATGGATAACTATTATAATAGTTTTCAGTTGGCAAAAATGTTACTGGATAGAAAGACTTACTGCACGGGAACGCTACGTAAAGATAGAAAGGGTTCTCCAAACGAAGTTATTCGCGCGAAATTAAAGAAAGGTGTAAGCCAGGCTATGTATCTCGATAATATAATGATTGGTAAGTGGCGTGACAAGAGGAATGTAATTTACATATCTTCAGAATTTGAAAATCGTATGATGATAGTGACGAATCGAAGAGGTATTGAAAAGGAAAAACCACAACCTATCGTCGAATATAATAAGTATATGGGTGGTGTAGATCATCAGGATCAACAAATGGCGTACTATCCAGTAATTCGAAAGACTTTACGGTGGTACAAGAAATTAGGAATCCACATTTTCCAAATGATGATGATTAATTCACATATATTATATAATAAGTATCACGTTCAAAAAATGAGTCTTGGTAAATTTAGAACGTCAGTTTTAGAAAGGTTGTTACCAGAACCCAAATCAGTAACTATAAGTAACGTGAAAAGTTCCCAACATATGCTTACTAAAATTAATACAACAAATGAAAAAGGTCACACCATGCGTATAAAATGCCGTATCTGCACAGGAAAACAGCTACGAAAAGACACTTTGTTTCACTGTCTTTGTTGTCCAGACCACCCCGGACTATGTATGGGTGCATGTTTTGTTGAGTACCATAAAGAAAATTAGTTACATTTTACGTATTATTTACTTTTGTTTTTATATTATTTGACATAAATTTCTGTTTTTTTTTTGTATCTTTTTTAATAAAAAATAAGTTTGCATATTTCTTTTTAGTATTATTTAACCTTGACACAATATTTTTGAGCTACAAAATAAATTCGGTGAAGCATGATTAGTTTTTATTACTTTTTATTGGGCCGCGAATTCGCGCTTTCCGCAGTTTAAAAAAAATTTCCAAAAATGTGCGGAGGACGCGAATTCGCGTCTAACAAAAAGTAAGTAAAATGACCATCAGCAGTAGATTCTCAACCGATTTCCTTCACACAATTCATAAATCATATTTGAATATACGCAAAAAAATATTTCCGCACAGGTCTACATTCATATATTATTACCGCAGTGAAAGGGTTAATTTTATAACTGCAACTGTCTGAATATTGAATGAAGTTTCCTGTCTAGCTGCAAAGCTGATACCAGATTTTTAATAATGCAGGTTACAAAATCTGAACAACATAGTTCTCCTTCTGTTTCATTCCATAAAAAAATTTTGCATGCATGAGTTGACAAGTTATAGATGGTAAAATTGTGTACCCGCATTTTTGTAATACAATGAGCTTGCTTTTAATTGAGGACACAATTTGACGGCCGGCACGTCCATTGTAAAACAATAGGTTGCCTGGTCTTGAGCTTTTTTCTTGTTCAAATCTTTTGTTTTACGAGCAAGGTTTTTTTGCTAAAATATGATTTTGGTAGACAATTTCTTTAATTTGTTGCATTTTGTATCGACAACATTAATCGCATTGATCCTTTCTTGAATAGTGCAAGATTAATTTCGTCAAACTCATTTATAAAAGTACTACTGGACAAGGGTAGCACACTTTCGTCTAAACATTTATTCTTATTTAGTTGAAATATGTCGCTTTTTGATTTGAAATCTTCCTCTAGATATAATTTTTCGAATTTTTGTTGCAGTAGTGGCTTTCAATTTTGGACAAACTATCTAGAAATAGGCGCAACTCTTCTAGCTTTCTATTTTGTTCTACGAAATGTACTGACGTATTTTTTTCTTATTCCTATTTTTGTTTTTGTTGTCCTGACTACTTTGTGTTTCAAACACAGACCCTTCATTGACCCATTGCCTAACCATACGTTCTTTTTCTAAAGTACCAAGAAATGTTTGTTTGCACACCTGGTGTTTCCTGTCATCAATTTGTAAATAGTATTGAAATGATCCCTTTCTCCGTGAATAATTTCTTGTGTAGCTTCTATTTTTTTTAGTGTAGTTGGTCATGTGCAAAACATATAACCTTTTCTGTTCCCAGGGCATTCTCCAAAATTTCTCAAAAATAGTCGGTTTTCTTCAGACAGTATTTGTCAAAAACGATTTGCGGCTTTTTTACAAAAAACTGAATTACATTTAGGTTTGAGCATTCTTATGTTTCTTTTTGTATCGTGTTTAACTGTCCCGTCTTTAGACATTGTGTATCTAACGTACTCTTCTCCCATCATTCTTTTTTTTTTTTGTTAACGTTTTTATCCCATAAAAGTCCACTATTTCCTTTTTTCTTTCTTTTAATTTAACTAAATTTAGGTTTTCAGTATTTTATCGATGGTATCTTTTACCGTTGGACTGTACTAAACTGGATTGTTTTTATTTTGTTCTTTATCTGAGTATTCCGAGTCGTATTGTTGATACGCTTCTTTTTGGGATAATATAAACTTAGGATCAGAATTATCTTAAAGCTCTTTTAAATTTTCTTGTTGTAAAATAATCTTATCTGTAAGTTGTATCAAAGATAGGATATTATCTTTATCTGATTTGTTCTCTGCGGGAGTTACTTCTTGAGCTTCATGATAAGTGTCATCCACAGGTTTGTTCTCTTGTTCTTTCAAACATACTGTTTGACTCTGTTCTTTTTCTACATCTACTAGAACCACACTACGTTCAGATAATTATTCATACCTTACTTCAGAGGAAAGCCACTCAACGTTAATACCCTGATTATGAAAGGGATCTTGAAAGAAGTTGTTTACATCTTCGTTAATGACTTCAAGTTCGTAAGGTATTTATGTAGCATGTGATTTAATTTCCATCAATGCTACATAAAGCAAGGATACATATTATGTATCCTTGTCTATTGATTTGCTTCTGCTTATGATATTTATGTCATCTGCATATGTTGCTATCGGACTGATTCATTGATAAAGGTGTACTTTGTTGTTTGAAATTAATTAGTTATCTCATATTGCGTCTATATCTGACCAAGTATGTCCATCATAGGTATTCGGATGAGCCTAATTATTTTAGAAGGTATTTTAAATCCGCTTAATATTTATTGCGACATATTCTTACAAAGTCGATGAAAATAAGTATAATAATAAATGGACATTTATTTCATGTTCTCAGGTTTCGCATAAAACCTGCTTAACCGTGAATACTTAGTCAATGATCTTCCTGGCCTAAATCCTTTTTTGGTATTCTTCAATGATTTTCTCTGCGACGGGTTATAGTCTATGGTTACGTGTATTGGTAAATATTTTATATCCACAATACAGCGAGAAGATTCGCATATTTTATAATATTGACAGGAGTTTTATGAAAAAAACTAAAACAATAGTATTCATCAAAGAACCAATCAGATGTCAAATAGAAATTGCTGATATCAGTATTAAAGTAATTAAAGTAATGAAAATAAAATACTTTAAAATTACACTGTCTAGCTATGGAGATCTGGACAAAGTAGTGAGAGATTAAGAACAAAAAGAAAATAGATCGACAGAATGCCTTAATAACACTATATGGCGAAACAGACACATTAACACTAGAATGAAGTTAAGAATTTATAAAGCCAGTGTAACACCAATAATGACATATGCTTTAGAAACAAGACCCGACACAGTCACAACACAAAGGAAGCTGGAAACAGCAGAGATGAGAGTATTGGGAAAAGTTACAGGAAATACGATGAGAGATCGAAAGAAAAGTAAAGACATTATAAGAAAACATATCGTACATTGTATAGATGAATAGACACAAATTACGAAAAAAATAATGGAATAACCACATAAGCAGATTGGGAGAGATAGGTGTCGTCAAAACAGCAAGAAATAAGTCACCAATCAGCAGAAGAAGTATCGAATAACTGTGCAAAATATTGAGACCTTCCATAGAGATATTAATCCGCCAATAAACAATTAGAGTTGCTAAGGAAGAAGAGTTTTATGGATTGGGCAAACGTTATTCGGGCTCTTATTCTAGCCTTTTGGCATTTTGTTTTTTTTTTCATAACATTTTTTGTGAAATTTTGTGTAAAACCTTCTCTTCTAGGCAATTTTTGTTTGTCTTGTTCCTTCATTTTCAGGTTCTTTAAAGAGTCCATGTTCTGTGGATATTAGCACATTAGGGGTTAGCAGTTTTTCAAAATATGTTTCCAAGTTTCTTTCATTTCTGTAGTATTGCTTTTAGTGTATTGCACTTTTCACTTTATTATTACAAAACTGTAGTCGCGACAGGTATGTCGCGACATTATAAAAGTAATCATCAAAATTAACATTCGACTAGAATCATGAACTGTGTATATTTACTTTTCTTTGCATTTAAATATATTATGTGACTTGCATGCAAGGTCGGAAACCATGGTACAATGAACACAAGGTATGATACATAATGTTCTGAAAACGGTTCGCTTTCGCGCATAACGTAGTCAAGACTTTTAATTTTAAGTTTTTTTTTAATTAACTGGCTGATTTATTTATAGTATTTACAAAGATATGATAAAATTATGTTATTATAATATTTAATCATGAATAAAATTTTTAAGTTAATTTCAGTTTATTGATAATTGGTACAGTTATTTTGTTAACATATATATCCTTTATAAAACAAGTTTTAATTATCTTTTATTACACGTAGGTACAGGTTAATTAACTTATACTCCAGACTTCAATATTTTAGATGTTTAAAAAGATGAAAAAAGTGGTGATGAAGGTACACAAAATTTGCACGTATATACCTACTGAACTAAACACAAAATCAAAATAAATAGCTGGCCATCGAATATGAATGTAGTGAGGTCACACAATATTGCACAATATTTTAAATGATATCTAAAAATTATATTTGTATTGTTTGTAATACTATCATGCATGCAGATAGTTGTGATGCATATGATGTGAGATTTATTTTTCATTTTCTTAGAAAGATAGGTAAGTAACATCCTTTTGGAATAATGTAAAACATTACACCTGCTGAAAAGAAAGTATACTTTTTCTTTCTAGGTATAAAAATGGATTATTTCATGCATTGATATTTTTTATTTTTCATGACTAATAATTAATAAAAATAAATATTTAGATTCACTTCGTTGACTTAGAAGCAGTAAAAAGCTGCTCAACATACTTTTTGGACTCTCTGTGTTCGTCTCTTGGTACGCGTTTCTTATGGATGGTTGAAAGGGTAGTCGAATTTGATTTAGGCAAATAAAGACTAGGTATGTCTCTCGTAATACAAAATTAAGAGTATACAAAACTATAATTAAACCCACAATGCTATACGCTGCCGAGACATGGACTAGGAACAACACCATACAGAATACATTGGAAGAATGGGAAAGAAAGATACTTCGCAGAATATTTGGTGGAAAATTAGTAGAGGGAAAATGTAGAAGACGAACTAATGCAGAAGTGTATCATTTGTATGCTAATCCTACAATAAAAAAACTGGTGAAAAAACGTAGACTAGAATGGCTCGGTCATCTAGAAAGAATGCAAGGTGATAGAGTCAAGAATATTGCTTGACTAGTATATCAAGAGAGTACCTGACGGCAAAAAAAAGAGAGGAAGACCAAGAAAGAAATGAAGAGATATAGTGATGGAAGATGTCAGAGAGATGGGCATCAGAGATTGGAAGCGGTTAGCTAAGAATAAAAGGCCTGTTAACGCTGTACGTAAATACTGTCTCAGGTTTGAGTTTCAAACCCTTTTTATAAACGTAATTTAAAAGTTCCTGTTGTAGATTTCTTTGGTAATCTTCAGTTTTAAAATTTTAAGAATAAATTCTTGTAATATTACAATTCAAATTATCCTGCCTACAACAATATATTATCAACAGTTTTCTGGTCAAACTAGCTTTGGGAAATGTATGAAACCTAAAGATTTTATCTTCATTGTCACTATTGGAACAAGCAAATGCACAGCGAATTTTGAAAAAGGTACAAAACCAGATATACAATGATAAATAAAAACTTTTAGTTTTACAAAAAAATAATATACAGTATCAATAAACAATAACTCAACACCACAAGTACACACAAGTCTCAGACACAGGCGCGCCTTACTGGTAATTTTTACGCGCTCGTCTGGGATAAAGGCGCCGATTCAATTTTACCCATTAAATTTTTTAAGCCCTTGCGAAGTGGATATTTTTATAAAGAGACATAAACATGTAAGCATATATCTAAATTATTTTTTTATTATCAAATAGATGACTCAGTCAATTTGCATCGTCACCATTGCTAACCTATATTATTGTCGAACTTTTGTTTTTATACAAGCCTTCTGTCTTATCGGTGTAAAGTTGTCTGAACATTTTTTATTGTGTTTTGCGTTTGAACTAATTTGTGCCAAGTTTTGTTTTTTTAATGTTTTACTAAAAACTCATCTAAAATACCATATTGAATTATAATTCAAATTTTTCTTTATTGTAATCTATTTTGTTTTTCCTTCAGCAAAACTGCGTGGAAATGAGTGACAGTGAATCAGAATACGCAAATCTACTACTATTTACCTATTCACAGCAATTTCTCTGTACAAAATTTTTAAATTTTAACGGATATGTATACAAAAAGAGTGCTTATATTATTAGTATATGTATAAAAACAAAAATAAATATTTCGCCTGAATCCCTAGTAAAAGTAAAGGTTTTACGCTACTGAAAATATATTTTTTGTTCAATTATAACCAAAACAAATCATTTAAAAAAATTCGATCATTTTTTTGACCATAATTTCAAAATTCATGTGTACGTTAAGCGGTAATGATGGGTTCGAGTAATTTCGAGTGGTCTTGACTACGTCACACTCCTGGGCCAGCTGCCAAATGTCATGCGCAATATCATAGCTTGTATTCATTGTACCATGGTCGAAAACAGTAAATATCCAATTGTGCTACGATAACAATTAGATTCTCTTCTTTACTAATTATTTTACTAATATCATGTTTAGCAGTGAACTAAATTCAAAATGAACGCATGTAAAAAACTCACTATGTAGATTAAAAGTGAAGAGAAAACAAAAACATTATTTTAAAAGTAAAAAAACTCTTCATTTTTGTTGTTTAAAAAGATTTGTAGATACTTTTGACTAGAAAACAGATATAATTAACCTCAATCCGTTTAGCGGCATTACTGTTTCCTTCAGTTTAAAGTACAAAATAATAAAAAATAGAGTGTGTCCTTGAATTTCAAAATCAATGTTTTTCTAACAAAAAAGTGGATATTTTCTGTAGAATTTGACATATTTATTATCTATTTTTAAGATCTTCTAATAACTTACATCTGCTTTGTTACTTTTTTGTTGTATTTCTAGAAATATCTACTATTAAACATACATGGATATACCTTAATGGATATTTTTTCCATGTTCACGCAAAACCAATAAAACTACTTTACTTTTTTGTATAAAAGTGTATGTGGCTACATTTGTTTAACAATTAAATGGGTCCTCATTTAAGGTTCATGTTTATTTATGCAAAAAGTATCTCCTAACCGCAGCAATACTAGTCAAACAACAACTTTTTGCTAATCAACCCCGTATAGTTCAACCCTATAAACTCTCACAGCTTACACCGACTCCTTCCTTCATTCTCCACACCTTCGGGTCGCTGGAAGCGGCGACCGGTACAAAACCACGTTGTAAAAGGCCTGTAA